TTGACCTGACCTTGACCTTGACCTCAAACTTAAAATTAAGTACATGTTTTTAGTTGTTGTAGAAAAGTACATGTTTAGTTGTTGTAATGTTTTTATGTTGCTAGTAGAGGTCACTGGTCATACCAGGTCAGGTCACAGGTCAGGTCACCAAAGGTCACCACATGAACCCAACTTTATGAAGGTTGTGCGATACATGTTTTATAGGCAATTTTTCATTTCCAACTCAATGGTGTTGGGTATAAGACCATCAGGTACGGTTTAGGTCACTTTCTGATGGAGGTTCGGTCAAGGTAGGGTAAAAAAGGTCAAATTTCAAAGTTGATAGTTGTGCATAAAATGGGTATTGATTCGATGCAGCTCGTCACGGGGAGTCTAATGGTGGTCTTTGTTTTGCGCTACGAGGTCTAGAATTGCTAAAAATTGAGTTTGAAAATTTGACGTCATCAATTTTGAACAGTTTTTTCGCTATAACTTGGCCAAAAAAGAGGTATCGATTTCAAATTTGGTATGTAGTTAGATGGCGGTAGGGACTATCACATATATTCCGGTTTTTCGAAATTCAAAAAACTTTTTTTTAATTTTTCGGCTATGATATTAAAAAAATCTATTTTTTTTGGCGGGGGGGGGGGGGTCAAAATCCAAAAAATTCCAAAATTCGAGATAGCAGTTTTGTATCTCTCTTAATTCTACACCTTTTATGTTGAAACATTTTTCTGTATCTCTAAAGCTGTAGGCCTGACAGCTCTTCCCGCGAAACCCTTTTTTGAGTCTTAAATGGCAGAAATGACGTCACTCTGACGTCATTAGCGGCCAACCTATCATAGCCTTTGGAAAAAAATTGTCACAATGTGCAATAGCTATTTTTGGGAGAGTACTGAAAGTTTGGTGACGATCGGCGCAGCGGTTCTGGAGATATATCGAAAAAACTAAAGGGGGGACAAAAAATGCCCTCCCCCACCGCCCGGAAGATTAAGCCTCGTGACAGTCGAATAAGGGCCAGAGCCCCATACGCCCATGGGGGCCCATTGGTTGTTTGGGGGGGGCCAAATGATATGATGGCCCCCTGATTAGCCTTTGGAGGGGGAAGGGCATGGCCCTGATCCCCCCTCTGCGACCGCCACTGCACTGAAAGTGGAAGGGGGAGGGGAAGATACAGACATTGCTGGTCCCCAGCCTGTTTGAACCGAGGCAGGGGGCACGATCGCGTATTTGGAAATTCCGACCTCGACGAGCATCTGTGGTAGAAAACCACCACTTTGGTAGGGGAGACTACTGCTGTCTGCTACCATTTGCACCGCATGTGTCGCTATAGCTGCGACACCTATGCATATACATATAAACCGCGACATCTGTGTGCGCTGATTCTAGTTAGCGATTAGCTAGGGCACCAGGGTGAATCTAGACTTTGGGTTTGAGGCAGGGCCGGGATGCGGAGCCGGAGCCGGAGTCGCCGGAGCCGGCATATTTTGCCCGGAGCCGGAGCCGAAGCCGTGAAACAATCCGGCTCCGGGATATATTGTTTCACGGCCCCGGCTCCGGGCAAGATATGCCGGCTCGGCTCCGGCTCCAGCTCCGGCTCCGGCTCCGCACCCCGGCCCTGCCTCAAACTGAAGTCTGGATCTACCCTGGTGCCCTAGCTAATCGCTAACTAGAATCAGCGCACACAGATATCGCGGTTTATATGTATATGCATAGATGTCGCAGCTATAGCGACACATGCAGGTGGTGGTTTTCTACCACAGATGCTCGTCGAGGTCGGAATTTCCAAATACGCCCAGGGTGCATCCAGACTTTCAGTTTGAGGGTGGGGGGGGGGGGACTTATGGCCGGCTTCAGGGATGCGGAGCCGTGGAAATTCCAGACGTCTCCGACTCCGGCTCTTGCTCCGGGTGAAATGCCATGGTGGCTCCGGCTCCGGCTCCGGCTCCGAGTAAAATGGTCAGGCTCCTGCGGCTCCGGCTCCAATGCTCAGTAGGTACAGGTCTCGCGGGTTTTAGCGGTAGGTTTTGCACCTAGAAAATTTAGTGTACTTCAGGCTATATCTTCGTCGTCTTAACCCGCGCACCGACGGGGGGGGGCGGATATCCGCCCCCCCCCTGAGGTTTTTCGCGGATAGCGGGAAAACCGCGGCGCGTAGCGCCGCGAAATTTGGTATGACTATTCTCTCATCAATTTTACACATGGTGTGCAAGTTTGAACCTCCTAACTTTTAAGGTCAGGTCACCAGGTCACTTTGAATGACCCAACCTCAAGTCACTTTTTTGCAACTTTGTCACCGTGCCAGAGCTACAGTAGATGTCGGAGGCCTTTGAAAGTCGCAGGATGTTATTAGGTCATTAGTAGCTACAATTTGTATATCTCGGAATTTTGATGTCGGTGACCTAAGGTCAGGTCAATTTCGCGACCTCCCCATTATAAGTCAATGGGGGAAAAATCAACTCCCTGTTTTTACCACTAAAACGGGTCGGAATGGCCCCATATACCATACATGACTTCACATACGATCAACCTTCACTACCTTGAGGTCTGTTTTGCTGTTGGGCAGCTGTAAGGTCATGTGACGTCATCAAAGGTCACCAAAGGTTTTTTGCCAATAACTCCTTACAGGAACAAGATACAGCCGCGCGGATGGTCTCATTGTGTTCAGCTCGTCAAGACGCATCGAATGATATACATGATGACCTCGAGGTCACGTGACCTGAGGTCAACCTTTGACCTTGACCTTTCGAGGTCAACATATATATCATTCGATGCGGATTGACGAGAGGATCACGATGATGCCCTTAGTTTGTTCCTATCTTGACTACTTCGAAAGTTATTCGAGAAAAACCCTCTCCATATCTAGCGCCGCCATTTTGACTTTTTCGACCCCTGTGACGTCATCTTTGACCTGACCTGAAAATGACCTTAGTAAAAATTGTAGACCTTGTCCGTGCGTATCCGATGCCGTTTACCGCTTGTCGCTATCTTGCTTCGTTCTCGAGATCTCAGGGGGGGGCGGTCATCCGCCCCCCCCCGTCGGTACTAAGTTGGCGCAGACCCCCGTCGGTGCGCGGGTTAAGCTTTTAGGTGTTGAAGATGTGATCGACTTGTTGGTTCACAAGCCGGCCATGATCGTATAAAATGGCTTCATCGTAGATCGATTAGTTTCTGAGATATAACCGGAAATGTAAAAGTGCAAAACCTACCGCTTAATCTCGCGAGAGCCGTACATATTAAATACGGGTGGCAGAAAAAAGAAGATGGATTGGTGCACGTTGTTTCTGCATTGCATAACAAGGCTGTTTTCATATTTTGAATACTGCATGTTTTACTGCCTTTTTTACTGCCCTACTACCCTAATGCATGGGACCAACATGTTTCGCTAGGTCTGCGCTTTCATTCCCGTCGATCCCGCAGCGGGCACGCCCCCCTCTGCGGGATTAAGTACTTCACAACGCCCAGCGATGTTCAACAAGGTCTTCCATACCATATATCCACCGTCCGCGCCGAGGGTGGAGGTGTGTCAAGCACCTGTCTGTTTAACACTGATAATTGACGAGCACAAGTACCTTAGTATCCAAAAATGGGAACGCTAAATTAGTTACACTCTCAAAACACCTAGTCCCAATAAAACTCTACTGTTTTCCTATCTAAATGAGTGTAAATGGCAAAAACGCCTGGTAGGATGGGGACGAGAAATTATCGAAATCATCATGAAAATTATGAATAAGTCACACAGAGTGACCAATATAAAAGAAATTCCTCCACATTCCAAAACGATTGTGCCTTAAAAACCGAAGGCTAGAACGACGCTCATGACGCTCCTTAAAACAACGCTAAACAGCTAGCATCCAAATAAAATATGGCTTTCAGGGCTGAAAAAAACAGCTGAATAATTTTCAACCATTTAAACAGAGTTTACAACAGTAGTCCGGTAAATTCACTCACGCTCCACGCGGTTGTCTGTCCCGACACTAAATGTCAGCAAAATTTCCGCGGGACCGTCCGCGTGTTCGCTTGCATATGTCAGTATCTGGTGTCGCTAGTATGAAAATTCATGACCAGGCGAAAATTATTATGCTTGGCGTCAAAATGTAAAAAAAAACTTCATTTTCCTTAAACTTGCACGTTTAATGTAGTTTGACTCATATTTTACCATTCTGCAATTTAAAAAAAAATATTAACCGGTCAATTTCCTTGTTCAGCGGTCAATTTATAGATAATTTTACGGAAATTCAGTAGATACTTAAATTAGCATGCCGTTTTTTGAGGCGTGATGGCGAAACGAGTTTCAGTGGGCGAACGACCGAAAAATTGTCTTTCGTTCCCATAAATGGGAACGTCCGTTCCCATGTTCCCAAAAATGGAAACGTTGCTATGTTTAGGTACTCATGACCATATTGTTTCGCCTACTGATATAGAGGTTTTAGTGACGTCATGATTTCTGAGTTTTCAACAAAAAAGGGATATGTTCAAAACATCGTATAAAATCACAAAATAAACATATCTACACGTATGCGGTGAAGGCCATTAGACTGACATACCCTGCACAATAAGATGGATTGCGTAGATTTCTGGGTATTATGTTTTATGTTTTTCGAAAACTTGAACTGAATCTCGACTATTTGCCGTGATTTCTTTACGATCATGATGCATATATCTGTTAAATCTATTTTTTCGACAAAAAAAGAAAACGCAATCGTATGCTAACATATATTTCACCATCGACTTCTGCGCCTAATAGTTTCAACACATGTTTCAAATGCCGCGAATACCATTTTTGATCTTCGCGGATACCTAGTTAGCCTAACCAGTAACCACCTATGCTTAAATGACCCCTGCGATTCTCGTTTGCCGCCTCACCCGTTTCGCGACGTCTACTGGTTCTCGAGTTATCGGCTGGGGGCGTTTAACGCCCCAACCCCCCAGCAAGTGGTGGGTGGCGAAATACCCTAGCAGCTGTCGGGTGAAACGACACATTCAACCACTTGACTAACCAAAATTAAATAACCACTCACCACAGTGTTATCCTAGCTGCCGGCGGGCACTCCACCAGAGCACTGCTGGGTCCAGGGAGGCCGCGCTGCCACTCGCCGGGTCAGTAGCGAGTCGGGCCAGAGGTCAGTGACTCAGGGGCGCACCCAGCCCCGGGCAGCAGGGGGGCACCCTCGGCAGTCGGCACCCACCCCTAGACAACGAGCGTCAGCCCGTCAATTAAATTAGACAGATTGAAAACGTAAATCCAGCAAAGACCTTTCCTGCGCATGCAAAGCATTTTGTCAGCCCCCCAAAAAGAACTTTCCACCCTTCATTATGCCCCAAGAGGTCGTGGATCCTAGCCCCGCTTCTGATCCACAGAGTCACAGACTGCTAGTGCCACCTCTTATCACCCGAACAAACCACCTACTATATGCGTTTCAGACCCTGTGGAACAGGCGTTTTCGGCTATTTCTCCTTGTATATGCGTTTGATTTTAACCAAACTTTGGCATTGGTAGTTTGAGGTCCCTACCTACCTAATTTTTATTAATATGATCTAGCAACAAAAAGAAAAGAAAAATAAGCCACTTGTCATTGACTGATTGTTGATGCCTGCCACTTGAAGGAGCAGTCACGCTATCTCAGCGACACCTACGCTGAGCGGTCACCGGCGCGAGATTGTGAGGCGTAGGAAGGCACACTTGAGTTCGCGCGGATGACTGCTAGATGGCGCAAGCGTCCTCTTCATTTCTTTACCTCATGCTGGCTCTGCGGCGCGCGGCGGTAATTTAGTGGCCGCCTCTTTTTCGGGTAGTTCGACCCGTTCCGTGCTTCTATCCTCAGGATACTGAAATCCTTCTCCTCCACGCCGCAATCTGCCTCCGGGCTCCGGGCTGGACAGGCAACTTTATCTCATGCGGGCTGCTCCCTTGGAGCGGCACCGCTGCTCCTGAGGGAGCGCACCCCGTAGCCGGGTGCAGTGAGTGCCTTGGGGCTGGGTGGCCTGTCCTCTGGACGGGCTCAGCCCCGGCAACTCACTAGGGTGCCTGCCCAGACCAATGTCTCCCCCTAATTCCTATCATCCTTCCGGCTCTGCAATGGTCTTGTCAGACCGAAAGGGCCTAACCCAACAAAACAAACAAATTCGGGTAGTTTGTTGTCAGCGGGCAGAACAGCTGATTGGTAGGTACTTGAGCAGCTCTATGTAGTGCGGCATTTACTTGTTCCGCTCGGTATATGTATGTTTTCTATTTGTACTTATGTTTCGCTCGATTAGGCTAGTACTGGGCTAATATTTCTGTTATTTGTTTATCATTTGCTAACGATTACGTATAAGGGTTCAATGTTCATGCATTGCTTTTTATTTTGCGTGTCCTTAGTACTTGCGCGTAGCGTAGCCTCGATTGGCGACCTCTATGAAGCGGCCATGATCGCTCCCTTGACCGTGATCCTCCGTGGAGGATCAGGGGCGTAGCCAGAGCCTTTCGATGGGAGGGGCACAGTGGGTCCGATGGGCCCCCCGTCGCAGATGGCCCCCCTTGCAACATAGGTGGCGGAACGGGGAGGGCACCGGGGCACCGTGCCCCCTTTGATTTTTGCATTTTAACATTAGCCCTATGGGCGTTGCATGGAAAGAATGGGACCAAAAGTCGGCAGTGCCCCCCCCCCCCCTTAATTGAGGGTGTTCCGCCGCTACTGCCTTGCAAACGGGCCCCTTCGCAGGTGGGCTTCTCTTAAACCTTCGCCCCAGTGGGGGGAGGGGGGGTACCTATATGTTACCACCCTGTAGCGTTTTTTGTGCGTGAATAAAAAACCGCGGCGCGTAGCGCCACGCCGCTTGGGGTAGCTTTTTGCACATCAATTTTGGATAATGTGTGAAATTTTTGACCTGGTCATGTCAGGTCAGGTCACCAGGTCAAGTTAACTGACCAAGCCTAAGAAAGTTTGCAATCATGTCCAGCCTGCAGTGTTTGTCAGAGATGTTTTAAACTTGGTGGATTGCATGATGTTATGGGTGCCTACAATTTGTATATCTCGGATTTTTTATATGCGTGACCTAAGGTCAGGTCAGTGGCGTGACCTTTCCATTATAAGTCAATGGAGAAAAACCAAAATGCCTCTAGATCCGTGTGTACTAGGGTGTGTCATTTTGGGCACTTTTTTCGCAAAACATGGTGCTCCACTGATTTTATCGTGCCCCAGACACGTAGAAACCGTGTGACATTTTTTATTTCCCCCAAATATTAACACCCATGCGGCGCCGACCGCCGACACTTTGGCCTATCTCTCAGCATTAGCGACCTCAGCGCCCCTAGCGGCAATGTTTTGAACTAACACGCCCGCTATGCCATGGATTAGGTATTCCTGGATCGGACACTCCGCCGATTTTCCGACCACCCGGCGGCGGCGGCGGATTTCCCGACGGCGAGGGCGCTATCGCCATTTTAGCATTGCGGGCTATGGGCGGAGCGTGTCTTTTTGTATACTTTTGTCGTTTATTACTTACCTGTAACCGATTTTGATGAAAATTTTTGTGAACCTGGTAGAACACGAATTGAGGAATGTCATGAAAATATTATTTTCCCAGTTTTGATTTAAGAAGCTGCTTAAATTCTGCTGACAAGTGAGGGTTCGTGATTACAGCCGAAGAGCCAATGTTAGAATAAAGTGAAGTTTTATGCGATAACATGAAAATAAGTTGATATTTGTATAATAGGAACTTGTTTGACTGCCGAGGAACGATGATATTTGATGATAAATTGCATCGGCAAGTCAAGAATATCGGCTCAGTTTATGGGCATCAGGTAATGATTCCGTATGTGATAGGGACTAAATGGAGCCATAATAATTATAAGAAAGAACTTAAAATATGTGTGAAGTCTCTGAAATCGTGTCTTATGAGCTGAAGTTCGCTAATTTCGCCCTCCATTACCGCGTTTTTAGCACGCAAGCCGGTGCGGCGGCCGCCGGCGCACTCGCCGCCGATGTTTCGGAGCTCCGCCACCAGGGCGGCCGCTTGGTCGCCGGCGCTAGTGTTGGGGAATAGGGAGTGTCCTATCCAGGTATACTTCATCCATGGCTATGCTTTGTGAGCTTACGATCATCATTAAATGCATTTTACCGAAATGACGCCTTGCTGTTGGCTTGTCTGGCACTCAGAATGTTGGTGAAAATGTGATGTTATGCATCTTAAAGCACGAAATAGTTCTGTGTTAATGTATATTGCATAGTACTACCCCCGATCCCCGTCCTGGTCTGACGGGATACGTACGAGCGCATGTTTATAGTGCCTGCTATTAGGTCTCACATGTTTTTTTTTGTAGCGTCGTTCACTGCATAGACCCCGGGGAACAGGGGGGGGGGCAGTGGGGGCGCTTGCCCCCCCCCCCTCCAACTTGAGAGCCGAGTGGGCGCCGCCCCCTCAACATTGATGCAACGATGAAGGATCTCTGCTCCCTTTTATGGACCTACATGTCTGTTTTTATATAAACATCAGCACAAGGTATTTCTCTTGCATGTGAAGTGAATGGTTTCTGCTGACTCGGCATCGATTTAAGAACACCTGCTATTATCATCCCACTTTGATTTTATCTGAACTTGATCATAACTTTGGTAGGTCAGATTTTATACTCGGGACCATTTTGGTTCCGGATGGTATTTGATTTGGCGTGATGAGAACATTATGACGTACAACGGTGGTAAAGTCGTTGATTGATACAGGTTTACTCGCTCCGGTGGGAGGCAGTAGCGGCGGAACACCTTCAATTAAGTGGAGGGGGGAGGGGACACTGCCGACTTTTGGTCCCATTCTTTCCATGCAACGCCCATAGGGCTAATGTTAAAATGCCCAAATCAGAGGGGGCACGGTGCCCCGGTGCCCTCCCCGTTCCGCCGCCTATGGTGGGAGGGCGGCGTGTGGGACTCAGAAGGAGACTAATGGCTTGTGTTGTGCCTTTGGTAGGACCCTCACTCAGTATCACCGATGAAGGGCCTTCAGAGCCTCAATTAGGTGACCTTTAGAGGCACTGGTGTGGGGTCCTCACATACGCCCGTGTGGCCCCTCAGAGGTGCTAGTGTGAATCCCTCATAAGCACCGGTGAGGGTCCTCACAGAATACAGACGCCGTTGTGGACCCTCAGAGACACTGGTGTGGGTCCGTTACATGTGGGTGTGTGGCCCTTAGAGCTGCTGGTGCGAACCCTTTAAAAGTCGGCAGGGGGCCCTCAACGACCGGGGAGGGGGACCTCAGACCGGCAAGGGGCCCACAGAGGCCGGCGGCATCTTCAGAAGCCCTGTGGGGTCCTTAGATACCGACAAGGTACTCTGAGACGCCAGTGCGGCCCTCAGTCTCTGATGTAGGGCCCTCAGAGTTGCAGGTAGGTGGCCGTCAGATATGCTTTTGCCGAACCCTCACAGGCGCAGGTGTGGGTACCTCAGAGCCACCAATATAGGGTTGCATAAATGGTGTGGCACTGGCTTGGGGGACCCTCAGTGGTGTCCTTATGGGCCCTTAGAACCACTGGTGTGGGTATCTCAGAGGTGCTGGTTGTGAACCCTCAGAGGCCCTGCTGAGGGCCCTCACGGTCTCCGTTATGGGATCCTCAGAAGCCGGCGTAGACCCTGACGGAGATCTTAGTGTGGCTACTTAGGGGCTCATGAGGTGCTATTACGAGACCTGTGAGGTCTTTCTCAGCTGAAATATAGTCAGCGTGGACCCTCAGAGGTCAGTTGGTACCGCAGGGGTCTTTATGGCCGGGTGGGCTCTCAGAAGCACCAGTGAGGGCCCTCAGTCTCACAGTCGTCGTAATGGGGCCGTCTGAGACATTGGTGTGAGGCCATTACTGATTACAGGTTGGCGTAAGGCCCTAGATATGGCCCCTCTTGGGCCGGCAAGGACTCTCAGAGGCACGCTAGCGGCCATAAGAGGCCGGTAAAGGGCCCTCAGAGGCCGCCAGTAGCCTTCAGAAGCCGGCGTGTAACCCTCATGGACAATTTAGTGAGGCTTCTTTGGACTCACGAGGTGCTGTTACGAGCCCTATTCTTTCTGAATCGAAATATGGCCAGCATAGACCCTGAGCGGTAAACTGGTGCCACAGAGCCCCTCCGACCCGAGGGGTCCTCTGAATGCGATAGGGGGGGGGGGACTA